GACTGAGTGAGTGCTGCACTGTCAGCTTCCCTGGTTTTGAGGCTTTCAGATTTTGAGCCATTACCGGCTTCTCTCTTTCCCCAGCTTGCAGGGCACTTCTCCTTGTAACCATGTGATTCAATTATCCCTGATAAACTCCTATATATCCTACTGGTATGTGTGTGTGTTGTGTGTGTGTGTGTCTGTGTGTGTGTGTGTGTATCTCCTACTGGTTCTCTTCCTCCTGAGAACCCTAAGACACATACCTAAATTGAGCATGTGTAGCATTGTATGTTGAGTTGACTTCATGGGGATGTTGAGCAAGTGGAGTGCCCACCAACTGGCACAGAGCAGGCATCTGGAAGGTGGAAAGAACTTTCGAGAGGGTCTGGTTAAGCCTCCTTATTTTACAAATGCAAACACATTTACAAATGCAAACACTGAGTCCAAAAAGGATAAAACACCTACCCCAAGTTTTCACTTGGATAGTTAGTGGCAGAACTGGGACTGAACTCCAGATTTTCTGACTCTCCATGCACTGCTCTTTGCAAAGCCAGCAGGATCTGTGAGGCAGTCATCTGTGGGGTCACCCACATCAGTCAGCTCTACCCTATGGGCCAACAGGAAAACAGTGACTCACAAAATCCAATGGTCCTTTGGAATGCGTAAGAGGTGTGCCTGTCTTCTGTGCTATAAAGCGTTTTCCATTTTTGTAAATAAAATCCCATTTTAAATGCCCTAGGAGAGTTGGCAATTTTAAGTGCCTTACGGACTACGTTCATATATGGTCAGGCTTAGCACGGACTAAGACTGACTGACGGATGAGTCATTTGATAGATGGAGAGCAAATTTCTGTACACCGTATTTCAAATTGTCAGATTTGCTTCAAGTGAGCACACCTGTCTGTGACTTTTGCTTAGGCCAAAAGCCACATTCATTTGCATTTTAAAGCTCTAAGGAGTGAAAGGAAGAATCAGAGCTTGAAATCTGGCCTGGGCAGCACAAACAAATAGTTGAAAATTAACTATTTGAGAACATAGATGTGAATGTGCAGTTTTTAAAACTAGACCGCGTTGTTTTCCGATCCAGAAATCGTTGAAAACTCAAGGATCTCATGGATCAGGTATATTATTTAGGGATAATGTAAAGCTACATCAGGTGAGAAAGAGACTGGGCTCCTCGGATACACAGAGAAGACACCACCCTTTATGTGAATCCCATATGTCATCCTGGCCACACCGTGAGAGGATCCTGCCTTCCTACTCCCTTCCTGCAACCACACAGGGCACTCCAGGGAAACTGGGCTAGAACCACTACTGTTTCTGCCACCTTGCTCAGGCCTCCAAGTCTGCAGGATGCAAACACTCTGTGTTCTCTATTCCCAACAGTCCGAGATGTACAGGCAAGCATTTATCTGCAAAGTTACAATAAAGACCCTATATTCAAAGAAAAATGAAATCTTGAAAATATGCCATTTTCACCATGCCATTCTATTGCTCAAAAATCTTCATCGATTCTGCATTGCTTACAGAATACAGTTCAGACTACTGAGGTGACCTCATCCCTCCTCTCCATTCCTCAGCCTCATTGTTCTACTACATAAACCCTTCTATTCTGTCATGCTGGCCAATTCACCACCTTCTGAATATTCCTGTGATTTCCCTGGTTGCACACATAGCCTCCATTGCCTGGAAAGTACTACTGTGCATCGCTCATCTATTCAAATGCTACTTTCCATGGCTCAGCTCAAATGCCACCTCCTCCCTGAAGTCTCTTCACTAAAATTCAACTATCAAGATTTCATGCTTTTCTTCCTCTGTGAGAACAGATGTCTTATTTTCTTCTGCTTTGAATACCTCACATTGTCTGATATCCATTTTTAATAAATATTTGTTAACTAATTAATTCAAAATAAACTCCAAAAAAGGATTACATTTGCAAAGTTCTCAAAAGTAAGGTAATGATCTGTAGCTGTTATAGCCACATAATGGAAACTTCAGAGCATCTAGTATGTTGTCATTGGATTCCTTTCCTTCCACAGAAGACCAAACTAGGTCATTTCAAACCTCAGTCACCTTCAGATTGATTCTAGGAAGGGCACACTAAGAGTCAGTAAACAGATCACATTCCTGGATTCCTGACTTGTTGTCCAGATCTGCTACTGAATCAGATTCAGGCAAGTGTGAACGGGAGAAAGGAACTAATCATTAGTGCCATCTAAACAAAATGAAAGCAGTGCTTTTGTTATGTTGGCTGGATAATCAGGTTTGAAAGGAGGAAAGAATTAAAAATAAGAAGAGAAATACAGCTTACAGCCATCAATTGTCTTTTCTTCAAATGTGCTTTTCTTCCCTTTCAGGTTTTTTTTTTTTTTTTATGCGTATGTGATGGAACTGGAATGTTTGAGAGGCATTAACTTAGGATTGAAAACATGATTTGTTGTAATCGATAAGGGTATTTACTAACATGCTTTATCACCCAGATTCTCCTCTAAGAGTTCCATTTTGTCTCCCCAGAACACATTTCTTTGTTAAATTAAAAAGTTCCAAAAGTGGTATCGTGCTTGTAAAATCACATCTGATTTCAGGGTTAGGTCCAAGAATAAATAATGCAGTCCTATTTCTAGGTCGAGTAACAAGTGTTATTCATTTGACAGACTTCACTCAGTAGATTTGTCCATGTCCTCAAAAGACATACTACTTGGGAAGAGGAAAACTGAGTTAGGGAGGGTAAGAAGAGTGTAAAACCAAATAGCAAATGGGCAGAAAAGTTGATGTGAAAGTTTTAGCTTTCTAAGTATTCATTAAACTAACAAATGCTGACCGATCTCTATTGTCAGTGCTCAATACTGCTGTTTATTCAATTAGCCAGACTATATATATTTATATTTATTGAGCACTTATTTTTTGCTAGCTAGTAAGCCACTAGCTATAACTTTGTGCAGCCAAAAAATTATTGAATATAATTTGAATAGGGAACGTAGAGATTAAAAATTATAAAAATTAAGGCAAATAATCAATAATGCAAAACATCATGAATAAAATTGAAAACTCTGATGTCAAATATGTGTTTACAATAAAAATTTTAAATTTTTTATTTCATATGATTGTTCTTGCTTCATATCCCAGGCACATGGGAGTTTAGTTCATTGACTCCCATGTGTAACCAATTGAGAATGAGCTTAGTTACAAAGGAAGCAATTGAGGCTTTGAGCTCTTGAAGCTAACAGATGGAAATACGTATGTAAAAAACTAAGTCCAGTGTAAACTCGGCACATATGGATGTAAGTATTATTATTACCCAAATGGCACTATTGGGTATTTTCTTAATAGATTCTTTTAAAATGCTTCTTTATGGTTGTGGACCTTTTTTAGACCAATAGTTCTTAAGAAGAGGAGGGGATTTTGCCCCTCAGGGACAATTGGCTAAATCTAGAGACATTTTTTATTTTCACAACTGGGTGGGGAGTGCGGAATGGGTACTGCTACTGGCATCTGGTGGGTAGAGACCAGGGATACTGCTTAACATTCTACAATGCACAGGAAAGATCCCTACAACAAAGAAATATCCTCGAGAAAGTTTCAGTAGTGCTAAGTTTGAGTAATTCTGCTCTTCACCATCATGTTTCCTTCTCTTGGAGCCTGGTACCAGCCAAAGACATCAGGATCTAACTTGAGACCAACCTAAGTGTTCTATGTGGCAGCCTGATGTACTGAAGAGTGCCTAAGGTTTGCAAGCCGGCTAGCTGTGGTTCCCCATCTCGCTAGCTTGAGCCAGTTATTTAAACCCTTAGAGATGCCTTTCTTTAAATTAAAAAAAAAAAAAAAAAAAAAATCTGCGCTATATGAATCATACCTACCTCATAAGGTTGCAGTGAACACTGAATCAAGTACATATATACATATTCAGTACAATTTCATTCCTTTATTATTTCTAGCCTACTCATCTCTCCCCCCTCCCATTCCTGCCTTTTCCCCCTCCTGGTACTGCATCTCCCACCCCAAGTCTCAGGTTCTCTTTTAAAATGCTTTAATTCCTTTGGTGGCAAAAAATCAGGCTTGGGCTAGGAAGTGAGTCACCACTCAGCAGCGAAAGGAGCTTGTTTTTCTTTCTCTGAATGCATTTCTTAGTAATTTCAGACTGATCCTTTAGCCACTTGTTGGTTGAATCCTCTCTTAATGTTTAAGACACACTGAGAAAGAGCTGTGGCACCAAGACGTTTTCCGATTGTTAGGAATGAGAGTGTTTTAAATACCGAAAATAACCAGAGGGCAGAGAGCTCTGAAATCCTATGTTACATAAGCAGATGCTGGAAGACGCAGGCTGGTTCTGAGGTTCCTCTCTCCACAAGCAAGTCCTCGCGGATCCTCCCCGTTGCTGGATTTACTTTAATGCTGCCGAAGTCTCAAGAGGGGCCTCTGGATGCTCAGAAGACAGGGAGCGCAGGAACTTTCTTGTCAAATAAGCCTTGCCTGGAGGGAGAGGGACGGGGCGGTTTTCACCTGCGGGCGGTGGGACGGGGCTGCGGGCTGGGGGCTGCCTGGTTCCAGGCTGTGTCAGTGCCTCGGGCTCCAGGTTCGGGTCCAAGCCTGCACTTCGGCTCTGCTGCTCGGACGCCCGCTTCCCCTCCCTTGCCTCGCTTAGAAACCCTTCAGTTCTCCCGGACCGCTATGTAGCTTTTCAAATTCCCAAATTCCCAGAAAACACCTTCAAAAGTCACAATCACCCACAACTCCCTCTGCCAAAAAATGTCATGCAAAAACGGAAAATACTCCAATTCCCCTTTCCTCCCAGGCTCTCTCGCGCGCGCTCTCTCTCTCTGTCTCTCTGCTATTCATTTTCTCCCCCACCTTTCCCCATCTGTGGTCTAGATCCCTTTCTCTATTTCTCGTTCCCTCTCTTTTTTCCCTTCTCCCTCTCTCCCTTTTCCACTCCTTCCTCCGTCGTGACCGCGCCCCCCCTCCCCCGCCCGGTCGTCTCTCCTCCGCCTCGCGGGCTCCCGTCTCTGCCCTCTCCTCCCCTCCCCAGAGAAGAGTGTCCAGCTCCTCCAGAGGCTGCCCGCCCGCCGCTCCTTCCCTGCCCACCTACTATGAGGAGCAGCTCCTCCCACCTGCCCATAAAAGCCAAGTGCATGTTACCAGCAGCGGATCACAGCCCTTCCCCGATCCTCTCCGTGGGAGCCCGCGAGCCTCTCTCCCTGATCTTACGCGCTCAAGGTAAGATAGCGCTTCTGCAGGCAGCTGACCTACCGGGGGTTGCTGTGGGGGAATAAGACACCGTCTGGCCAACGCGTTTGCTGTTTGGTTAGAGCTGATTCTTACGGATGCGCGATCCGCTGCTCCTTTAACTAGCAACTGGTTTGAAAACAAACTTCTGTTTGAATGGTAAAATAAAAGCTCCTTTAGGGAAGAAACAGCAGCATAAATATTGCGAAAACCTTTCTCTTTTTAATCACTTTTTCTCCTGTTGCTGACTGTTGCTGAGGTTAAAATGTATCTGTTTGGGGTGTTGTACTGACGTTTTTCATTGTACATATTTCACACATCAGTGGGGGCAAGGCAAACGTTGTCCCATTGTCAAAAATGTACTTTGAAAGAACACAGTTAACTTCCTAAAAATAGCACAGTCAAAAGGTCTGCTAACAATTTTGTGATGTTTTCCAAACCCCCAAGACAGCTTCTGTAGTCCTTTAAAAAATATCTTTCCAGGTTTTAGCACTTGGAAAAAATTATGTGAACGGGTGCCCTTTGCACAGGGACAGTGTAAGTAATCAGGTGGCTGGTAGATAGGAAAGAACAAATCCAAATTTACAAGCCAGGGTAGAATGTGCTCTCTCACCAGGCTATCTTTTCACGACATCCTAAAATGAGAATTGTGATGGAACTAAGAAAGTGTATAAAAGAACTTCATGAATTTCTGTACACACACCTAAACACAAAGCGTTTCAATATGTTTCACAGTAAGAGAATAATACAGGCCAGATTATACAATACTTCTGTGCACACCAGATGGTTGTAAAGAAAGATCAGCTAGAAAGGCTTTGGAAGTTTTAATCCTTTTTTCCACCCTTTTTCCCCCTCATTTAGTAAATTAAAACCTACCTGATTGGCATCCAATTGTCAGTGTTTAAACTACCCTCTTTAAAATAAAATGATCTCTTCTTATTCCTAAGGTAGAATAAATGTGCACCTGTGAAAAGAAAAACATACACCACAGCCACTTCTGTAAAACCAGACACTTGGTCCATGAAGTTTGCCATCAAATTCTGTGGGTTGTGTGGGATGAAACTCTCTCATGTGGGAGAAAAAACCTCTTCAAATGTTTCCTCTGGGGAATTGCACAAGACCACTTAGAGAAGGCAAACCAAAACTGCCAGTCAGGAAACCAAACCACTCTTTTAGCCCTTAAGGTTCTTAAAGTAAGAAGAGAAATGAATTCTTTATTTTTTGTTTGTTTGTTTATATTATCTCATGTGGAAAGAAAAAACTCATCGAAGCTGTATAAAATTCTCCCCTATTAACAAAACAAGACTCATTAGAAATTTAACTTAGGTCTTCCAAACCGTTTCTCCTTAGCTTTTGCATATCAAAAGTAATAAAAATATTTAAAAGATCTATTTGAGATGGAGAGGATTCAGTGCTGTTACTCAAATGCAAGAGTTATATGTAAAGTTTCAGTCATGTTAAATTTTTCTTTATTGGAAAAAAATATTGCAAGAAGTGCAGTTTCCTTTAAGCAAATGATATAAAATTACTATTGGCCAAGATAGTATGTGGCCTGAGCATATTAACATACCTTTTATCTCATGCCACAATGCAGACTGCTTGCTTTATATCTGATGTACATAGGTAATCAACCATGACAAGAGTACAGGTATGGGACAAGGCCAAACCAAGTATGTGGCACATTCAAGTTAATTCTTCTTTTATGATAGTGCCTGACTCACATCCATTATCACAAGGATGAAAATACGCTGCTTCATTCTCCCGATCCCCTTGAGGGAAGTTATCTTTCTTTGGGGTGGAGGGGGAAATGCTCCCAGTTTAAATGAGCTTCCAGTTATTCCTAAGTTTGGGGATAAAAGTATTCTCCAAGGGTTTGCTTCTGCTTTCTCTGGCAATTAATGCACTGGACCAGCTATGAACCTTTTAGCAGTAACTGCCTTCCCTATGTCCTATCAAGTTCAAGCCCCTAAATAACTGAGTGAGATCATCTTAGTTTGCTCATGATCTAACGTTCCCAGGGGCAAAGCTATCCTTTCTCCATAGGGTACATACCAAGCAAGATGACACTGCTCTTCTTAAGCTTTTAGAAAAATCAATGTTGAAGTTTCATGTAGTCACCCCCAATCTCCCCTTCTGCATAGGATGTGGATACTTCACGTGAGTCTCCTCTTTTTGCCATTATGTAGCTGCCTCTTGATCAAGTCCATGACTATACCCAACCAATGCATTGCAGCGGGCTTGGGAGGACTTCTTAATGTTTCTCAGAAAAGACAAGATGAGAAACTGCCCCTTTCACTAGAGACACACGAAGGGCACTCTACTGATTTTGAGGGCTTGCTGTTCCTACAGAAACGTGCATTTTAGATGTTCTCCTAATGTCAAAATTATAAAATGATATCCTTTTCATGATCAGAAAACATATGCCACTTTATTCCTATTTGTGAAACAAAAATCAAGGAGAAGGGATTGGGGTGAAAAGGGACTTGAAAGAGAAGCTGGAGGAATCACAGAAGTGCCCTAGGAGAAAAGCAAGATTAGGAGCTCTGTTACGAAACGTAACTTCCCCCAACCCACATTTATGTGAACATGAGGGGATGGGGAAGGGTAAAAATCCATGTCTGCTCTTGTCTTTTTATTTGTTTGTTGTTTTTTAATCAATGAAAGTATAAGATCCATCTTTACTCTGCCCCTCTCCTTAGCCCTCCTTCTTTAACAGAAAAGAACAGCTTGGTTCTAATGATGAAAATGATTTCAGGTTTGCCCATATTTAAAAACCCACAGTAATTTGTGAGTCATAATTCTAAAAGCTATACTATGAGTAAAAAAAAAAAATCCTTAAAACATGTTTTTAACTAATGGATGGGTCATGTCTACAAAACCAACCCTAAGTCTCCTGAAAAGCGTAATGTTGAGTGCTTATTTGCAAGCTAAAAGTTAGAAACAGCAATTTACTCCTTATCCATGGTTACTCACTTTGGTATGGAAACTTGCAGAGAGATTGAGACACACTGTATTTCCTAAAACCTCTGGTCCTCCAAGTAGCCCTCTGGGAGCCAGGTGTTTCTGCTTTGACCTGCTTCTCTTCAACTAGACCCCTATAAACATACATGTACATAAGTTAAAGAAGGTACAGATCTTGAAACTTGAGTGTATTCTTGTGAATGGTGCACTATTCTAACTATTGAGTGAAAAGAAAACCGAAAGGAGAGGAGAGGAGAATTAAGGGGAGAATGAATGCCCTTAGGAATTTAGAGAATCTTTCTTTTTAGCATTGTGTGAAAAGGATCTCTCAATCCCTAAAGCATCTAGGAATACACATTTTTTTTAAAGAACCTGTTCATAAGTTGTCACAAAATGCTAAGAATATAATGAAGAAGATCTTCCAGTGACCTGGCAGACCTGGTTACACCTCGCAGTACTAAATTATAGCTCTACTAAACTCCCCCTTTCTAGAGAGATAAGGAGTGAGAAGTATGAGCATGAACCACATTTCAACACCAACAGAGCAAAGCTGCTATCAGAGATCCCTCTATCACTTTAGTAACTGTGTTTGTTGTTTGAGGAAGAACGTTCTTCATAGTTTTTCCTCAAGCAGGTTTGCAGGAATGGGGTTAAAGGGAGTCACACAAGGTTAGAATGTCTGTAAGCCTGGAGCCCTGTGTACTCAAATCCATGAAGCCATTGAAATTGCATCAGATCAAACTGGAGTGAATGAAACAAAAAGTGTTCACCAAAACGGATCATAATCAATTAAAATAAAAATAATGAATTCTAACTTCTCAATGTAGGATAAGAGCAAAAGCAACAACTTTAGCTGACTATGTAAAATATGAACACACACCTGACAATTCACCTTCAGTGTCCTGTATTTATTTGGTGCTCACTTTCATTGTCCCTCCTGGACAACAAAAACTGACCCTTCTCGCCTTCAGCAAATCTTTCAGGATATGCAGATGCAGTCATATGTGACATCTCCTTTGTTCTTTCACTGGAAGAAATCTCTTTTTAATTCTCATAGAACAAGTTTCTAAAGAACCACTCATACTTGTGGTTTCTCTCATTATCAAAAATTTCCTCATACTTCTCTTAAATAGGATATAAATTTCCACCCTATCAAATGTAAAAGTTTCACATTTTTCTAAACTTTAATTCACATACCTAGAAGAAAGTAATTTAAAATTGCTACTTGCCTCCAACAGAGTATCTGAGATGAGGTTTCAAGATAAGCCGTTTTACTTATCCAGTACCTATTACAACTACTTGGAAATTAAAAAAACAAACCTTAGAGAATCACAAAAGGTAAAATACTGGAAAAGACCTTGGAGCTAATTGTAACTAAAAGTTAATTTTACAGGTGCAAAAAATCAGAAAGGTTAATGTCTTTCCCGAGGCCACCCAGATGAGTATAGCACACCCAAGGCTGGAGTTCATACAGCCAAAGTCTCCAACCCATGCTTAATCTTGAATAACTACAGTGTGGCTCCTCGTATAATGTGAATCTAAGGTGTCTTTGACTATGCTGAGCATTCTGTAGGCACTTAACATACAGGGCTCTCAGAAACCATAGCTTGGTAGAGGTTTGGACTACAGCTATACCTCCACTACCAAATGTCTAGGACACATTGATATAAATTCTTGTAAAGAGTGAAGTCAGTGGTCACCACCATCACATGGATGGTATGTTTTTTACCAGCCCAGGATATGGTACATAGTAGCTGCTCAGTAAATCTGTGTTGAGTGGGTGAGCGAAAGGGGAAAAAAGCTAAGTATAAAATATCCATTTTCCTAAACTCCTTTCTTACTTGTAGAAAATATAGTCCATAAAACTACTTTCTACAAAGTAAGGGATTTACAAAGTAAATTTTACTTTGTAGAAAATAGAGTCTATATAGACATATAGTGACTCAGGTCTCAAATGTATTGAGTTTAAGATTCTCCCTTGCTTTGGGAAATATAGGAGAGTTCATTTTAACCTTAGCAATGGCTAAGCTATTTTCCTGTCTTTAGTGTTCTCACTAGTTCTTCCCACATTTACCTGAGTTCTAGAAACTATATTATTTTTTACAGGAGGCTTAAGATCTAGTTCCAATATTCATTTGAGGAACAAATGTATTAGAATGTGATGATTTACAGCGTAATTCTCCTCTTCTTCCACCCAACAGACAATGTGTTGCCAATTTAACCATTTTGTACCTTCCTCCGCCTTTAATGAGAGAAAGAGCAAAATACCCATAATGGATAATCAGGAAAAATATTAAGGGACACATCAGTCAGAATGTGTAGGTATGAGATTTGTTGTAACAGAGGGGAGAGGTGATCAAGGGACCAAGAGTATAGAGGCAGAATAGTGAAGTTAAGAGAGTTGATTCCTCTGAAACAGAAGAGGGAGAATCTCCAAGAGTTTTGAAGTGCTACAAGAGATTTTAATAGGATTGTCTAAAACCAGACCCTCTCAAATGCTTGAGAGATGACTTTCTGTTTGAGTCAAGGTTCTTTAAATACAACACTAATTGAAGCCTGGATCACACAGGTGTGAAAGCTTTACTACATCTATTAAAACTTCTTATCCTTTGATGGGACCTCAAGTGGGAAAAGGTGAAATGGGACCTCATTTCACCTCCTTTTAGACTTCACTCTGACCCAGGGTAATAACTCCATGGAAGTCAAGTCATTGAAATGTTCACTGCTAAAATAACAGCACAATTATTGGTAACACATAAAGTCACTCCACCATAGAAAGTGATGAAGGCAGGAAAGAATATTCTTGTATTGTTTCTGTAAACAATTTACCCTGAATAAGCGGACAGATGTTAGCCCAGATGCTTCTTTACTTTCCTCTGAAGCATGCCTGACAATTGTTTCCATATCTCCGAAATAGTAAGTGTGTTTCTAAAATTGATTTATTATATGTTAAATTTAACACAGTCTATGGCTAAGCATGATTGTGAAAACATTCTTTTAAGTAAGTCTTTTTTGAAGACTGTCTCTCTTAAGCTTCCAATTGATGTGTTTACACCACAGGATATTTAGGCGTTGGATCATTTGATGTGCTGAGACTGAAGACAATTAATCACTTCACGTGCTACTTTTCCAACGCTAACTAAACAGGCCTGGGTGTGGGTGTCAGCTGTCAACCTCTCTAGGAAATAACATGCATCTAGCCTATTGGGGAGCTTCTCTAGTCCCCTCTGTTAGCTAGATAAAACAGCTGCTTTTTGGAAGTCTGGGCCAATGGCCTCCATAATTGAGGCTTCATGTTCTAAGGCAATTATAGCTAGTCTATGGCAGCAGAGGGGTTAAGTTGCAGCTGCTATCAGTTCAGTAGGAGGATTTCAAATATTACCAGCTGACTAAAGAGCACTGCAATGGGGCAGGTGGGAGGCATTTTCAAGCAATCATCCCATTGAGGATCTTCCTCCAACTAGCGTGCTGTCTACACTCTGACGATAAGCCTAAGCTTCATTCATAAATTCAGTGACGATTGTACATTATTGTATTTCTTTAAAGATCCACTTAGCGATTGCCCAGCCTTAAAGTCCAGGAGTCATGGTGTTGATCAGTGCTCTCAATCCAAACAAGCGGCTTCTTGTTAAATGGCAGATGTAAGATTAAAGCCAAAAAGTACATGAAGGGAGGCACTAGGGGGAGCTAAGAATTTGTGAGTTAGGTAGCCAAGATTGTTGAGGTTGGAAGAATGAGGAAAGAAAGGGGATCTGTGGCGAAAATATGCTATTGGATCCACAATTCCTAATTTAAGGGCATGTCTAGTCCCTTTTTCAGCCCCCAGCTAATTACAATCCCCAGCTGCCCAAGTAGAGAGGGAGGTTGTTCACCAGTAGAGGGAGCCAGGGGCTGGGTGTCTCAATAGAAACAGATCTGTTCCCAGAAGGGGCCTTTAGATTTAAATTTTTCAGATCGAAGGCAGAGCAAAGTGTCCTTTACAACCAATGGCTAAAATGTATACCATAGTAATACATCACATTGTTAGTTTTCTTTAAAAAAAAAATCTTAATTTAAGCCTCTAAGAATAAATCACCCACATTTCTGGCATTAGCAATGCCTGAAATGTCCAGGCTTGTGGAAGTTTATTTGAAAGAAAACTAAAACAATCTTAGAAAATGTTCTTTCCAAGGCTACCACCAGCCAAGACTGAATCTAAATGCTCAGTTCAGTAATAAACAAAGCCTGGCAGCTGGGGGTCAGTGAGAGACAAGCGCAAAGTCTGAGGAAGCCTGCGGTGACTAGACCCTCCCTGTCAGCAGAGTAATGGGAAGGGAGCTGGGAGAAAAAAGACAGAAATGGGCCAAACAGGCTTCTCCAGCCCAGATGGCCCAGAACCTGCTCCCCTAAATCTGGGTCTCTCCAGGGAGCAGCCAGGGTCTTGCCTAGACTGAAGTGAATACCTTTCTGTTGAACATTTCCATTGCACAGCTGTGTGAGGATGGCTTGTTAAGACTTGAGATACTTGCATAATTCAGAACCCTTTGGGGGATAGAGATCAATTAGGACCATAAAAAAAAGAATCCTTGGCACACCAGAGGAGAGCTGCTTGCTTAGTAAAAATTATGACATTCACAGCAAAACAGCAATCCTCTAAGATCATTTTTTGTGTCCATAGAGATGAAGCTATGGAGTTGGTGTGCATGTGACTTGCAAATCACCAGAAAATCTTCAGTGTTTTAATTTCAAAAACACCTTGACTGTCTCTGGGGTAAGGAGCATATCACTGATCATCTCTGTGCCTTTATTTATTTATCTTAAGCAGAACAATTTTTAAATAACTACCTTCTTTGCCACTTAGAGACATGTGAGGTCTTGTCAAGTATTTTTCAGAAAGATACTAATTAAGCATGCATTTTATGGTTATTCATTTAGTATGGTAAATGGATTATACTTACAATACCTAGGAAGGGCTCAAAGTATTTATACAAAATCAGTCAAAATGGGATAAAATGTCAAATAGCCAGATAACCTTCCAAGATATAGCAAGAGTATTTTTGTTTCTTAGAATACAGAGGTGAATCCCACATATCTCAAAAGGCCAAACAAGATCAAGGGTAAGTGGAAAGTAAAAAAACAAACAATAATTAGAAAATGGCTTAAAGAGTCTTAAAAGGCCTATATTCTTACCAATCTAAATTTTGAGACCAGCCAAAGGGGAATTTCTCACATACAATACAGGGTTTCTGATCTAAAAACTCTATTTTAACTGGAGAAAGATAACTGTTTAATAATGACTTTTGTATAAAATATCTACATCCCTTGCTTCAATATTTTCCAAAGTGCATTTCAAAACACGACTACCTGGGATTGATCGATGTTTATACCAGAAAAGGTTCTGTGGTCAAATAAGTTTTAGAAACACTCAATGAAACAATATTAAACATTTTTATTCACTGCATGACTTTACAGAAATTTTTATATGCTATATATTTTTTCATCCTCCAAAGACATTACAATCAAGTGTTCCTTAAACATTTGACGACAGATCTACCCTGCCTGAGCGCATCTCCTGGGATTGATATTCTACGGAACAGCTTAAGAATAGTTTAAGAATCACTTCCTGCAGCATTATTTCAAGATCACTCAGAACATGGTATTTTCAGTCTTGCTAGTTGTTAAGTAATACATACTGAATGTCACTATAAGATATGTAGAGAGATTTCTAAAACCCAGGTGAAAAAGGAACAAAAGAAGTAGATAATATGCCTTTGTTCTATGGCTCAATTCTTTATTACAATAATAGCAGGAATGTCAGAATTATTCAAGCTTGTCTCTCTCTCATTCTCTCTCTCTCTTTCTCTTTCTCTCTCTCTCATATCTTCAACCTCCACTTCTACCCAAAAAATCTTTAGAACACTGGATAAACTGAAGTTGTCTCTTCGTTCCCGTCTCACTCTCTGAATACTGTGTAGAGAAAAGTGGCCAAGAATGAGCAATAAGTTCAATAAACGAGGAGCCTAGATAATTCTTTGAACTAGCTCATCAGTCTCTGAGCTGTTAATTCCCTGCTTTATCTTTACTATCATTAACTAACCAAGATCATTGGCCAAATATTTTCTTTGAGCATTTGCTTTCTCACCATCAATAGGGAGCTAATTTCTGTAGGAAGAACACACTGATATTCTGGTGTAATTTACTGCATGAGGAATTATTTAGTTTATCTGTGACACTCAGACCTCCCACTCCATACAATTTACTATTTCTCTTAGGACATTACTCTGGGAATTATCTTTCCACTTCACAAAGTTAGTGCCTGGAGGTCAGTATTCCATAAGTGGCACAGTTGAGCACCCTCTCCTTTAAGAAAATAAGTAGCTCATAGTCATCTAAAGGAGAAGGGAGAAATTCAAACACATCATTAGTGGTTATAATAAAAAAAAGCTATTTGTTATTTAACAGGACCAGACATTGTGCTAGTCCCATTATCTATATTCCCCATGTCAACCCTACAAGGAGGATATTATTATTCCCAATTTCACAATGAGAAAAACTAAGCTTCCACTCCTTAAGCAACTTGCCCAGGGCCACACAGCTAGGAAGAGGCAGAGCAGGTACTTCCATCCAGGTCACATGCCAAAGTCCACGGTCTTCCTGCCCGCCTGTGCTGCCTCTCATGATGTCTTGTCCTATCATAACAGGAAAAAAATAAAAATAAACTTCCTATGACAACGCCTCTGACTCATAAAGAAAGTGAGAAATTCTAGTGGCTCTGTTCCTAGACACTTCTTACTGGCTCTCTTTCTTGTTTTAATACAGTGATTTTAATTTCTTTTTCTTTTTTGTATTTTTTTCCTAAAAGCATGCTGTCATTTCAGAGCCAAAAAAGTAAGGACTGTGTAATTAGAAAAGCAAAAAACAAACAAACAAACAACAAAACAAAAAACATCATTTCTCCCTGGGGTAATTTTTAAGAGCTAAAAGTTAGTCCATAAACTCTCCCCAAATGAAGACAAGTTGCTTGGCAAAAATCCAGTAAAAAGAGTGACAGTCTAGCATGTCATTCTTAAGGCAATAGAAGTTTCCATGAATCTATGAGAAACACTAGAGCAAAGGCACCTCCACACATTAAATGAACTTGTATCTAGCTCCCCAGATTATTCTCTTTGGCACGACTTTTACCATAAACCATAGCCAGATGATGACAGTAAAGATGACTTAAATGTTTCCCCCAAGCCATGAGAGTCACCTAGGAAAATGTCTATGTAGTCTACACCTGCTGCTTAGCCTGCATGAAAGTGTATATAGAAATAAATATACCTCTGTTGTGGGGTGGAGGGAGCGGGGAGGGATTGCATTGGGAGATATGCCTGAGGTAAACAACGAGTTAATGGGTGCAGCACACCAACATGGCACATGTATACATATGTAACAAACCCGCACGTTGGGCACATGTACCCTAGAACTTAAAGTATAATAAAAAATTGTTTTAAGAAAAGGAAAAAAAAAAAAAGAAACAAATATACCTCAAGCCCTTCCTTTATCCTGTGCCAAAGACAAAAATGGAAACAAAGCCTAGCTTTTTCCCCATGCTCACATTCTGCTATGCTTTTTGGCTTTTGTTCTTGATCTTCCCTCTCTGCTTGTAGTATTTCTCACTTAATCTACTAGATTCATTTATACTCCTCTTCCAAGAGTCAGATTAAGTAAGTATCTTCCCCTCTGTGAGAACATGCCTGAAACCAGCCTGACCCAAGCTGCCTCATGGATCTCTGACAGACTCCCTAGAACTCTGTACGGGCCCTGCCACTGTTGTCTCCATTCTATAATGGCATGAGTTTAATTTGGGTATCCATCTCCGTAAAGACCGTGAGCTCCCTGCAGAAAGATTTGTGTCTTATTTACCTCTGCACCCTCAGTGCTTGGCACATAATAAGGGCTTAATAAATGTGAAAAGAAAAGAAAAGAAATAGGGATGGGGGAATAAAATAAGGTGATGGTGAATAAAGAAGATTTTAATTGTGCTACTTTCTGTCCCCATAAATTGTTCTAAGAAGGGACAATTTGGCCTAAGTTCATTCTTGAAGCCTTGATATAATTGGGGTATATCCAGATATGGTAGAAACTCCTTTCCATTCTGAAATATTCCTTGATGAAAATGAACATCTTAGAAAGAATAAAAGTTCTGAATAAAATTTAGAATATCCTGATTTCTTTAGGACTTCATGAAATGACCAACACTACCCCAGTCTTCCCTGTGGTTTTCTGAGAGAACCAAGAACTGAGCTTCCACATTCCACATCTCCCTTTCCTCCCCATCTCATAGCATAAATATGTGCTCTCTCTTGCTCACTCTCGCTCTCTCTCTCTCTCTCTTACACACACACACACACACACACACACACACACACAGTGTTACTGGGCTTTGACTCAACTCTGCAGCTAACCATGCGGCATAAGATGAATGCCTAATGGTATTCTAATGTTAGTATTGGTGCTCCATATACCACGTTACACACAAAAAAATTATTTTCCATGTGACCATGGTCCCAGGATTGTTAGTACCCTGCTCAAAAGGATTTAATGGCATTATGAAATGTAGAACAAACACTTCAGCTTGACAGTCGAGTCTCACAACCTATCTCACCCCAAAGCTTCTTTTCACCTTCACCTCCCTGAAGTCTATAAACAGGAATTCAACCTGATGGGCTACTACTCCCCCAAACATTCCTTTTTCCTTTCTTTACTGAAAATGTCCACCATTCTCCTTTCAACCTGTCAGAAGAACCATAATTTCAAGATCCTATTAAAGCCTTCATCAATATTGTAACAAGCATTGATCCTTCCCTATTCTCGACTAGCAAGCAGTTACTCTAAATGTCAGTAATATGTCACCTATACACTGTATTGAAATAGTCAGGGCTGTCCAACAGAACTTTCTGCAATGATGGAATCATTCTACTTTCTACAGCTGCGCTGTCCAATATGATAGCCACTAGCCACGTATGGCTACTAAGCACTTTATTTTTATTTATTTATTTATTTATTTTTTTGAGACAGTCTCACTCTATAGCCCAAGCTGGAATGCATTGGCATGATCTTGGCTCACTGTGACCTCCACCTCCCAGGTTCAAGCGATTCTCGTGCCTCAGCCTCCCGAGTAGCTGGGACTACAGGTGCGCACGCCACCACACCCAGCTAATTTTTGTATTTTAGTGGAGACAGGGTTTCACCATGTTGCCCAGGATGGTCTCAAACTCCTGAGCTCAGGTGATCTGCCCACCTCGGCCTCCCAAAGTGCTAGGACTACTAAGCACTGTAAATGTGGCTGGAACAACTGAGGTAGTGAATTTTTTAAATTTTACTTTAATCTCTTTAAATTACCACATGTGGCTAATGGATACTGTATTGAGCAACAAACTATTTAACTTTTTATGTGCTGTGGTTTAGGTCCCTTGGTGAGCATATAAACTACTGAAAAAATTGAATACGATATGCTTTTTTCTATCCCCAGTGAATGCTATGACTGCAGTAGTGTTCATTAAATATCATTTTCAATGCATTGCATGACTACATGGTCTTTTGCCAACTGCTATGTTATTTTAAAGAAGACTTCTTCCCTGTATCTGTAATTTTAATAATATTGAACAAATGGTGTTTGCCTCCTTTTTTTCCTTTATTTTAATGGCTTAAAATCCCTCAGAATGACACCCTATCAATGCCTGGATTCTTTATCACTATACAAACAAAACGGGATGAGGAATGGTTTAA